AAGCAGAAGAAAAAAAAAAGTAGATCAAACTTCAATGAAGAGTAAGGGAAGCCAAAAAAAGAATGAAGAAGAACATACTGATGGTGACATCGCCGTCAGGGCTCTGAAGCATCTTATCCATGCCTTTAGGACCAAGTGAGGTACGTAAAATACGTGCAACAGCTTTTCCGGCGGAAATGTTGGCCTTCTGAGCATCGAGGCCTCTTAATCTGGTTTTTTGTTCTTGCTCCCTTAGTATTATAAACGGCCTTCCGAATTCATCGAAAGCTAACGCCATTGTTCACTGTGACCTGCTTCCGGTCAGATCGGTAAATAATAATCTCCGGCGACAGTGACAGAGAGAGTTGTTTTATGAATCTAGAACACTTCAAAACCCTAGCATGCTGTCTGCGATAAACCCTTAAATAAAAAGTGCTCCCGCTTCTGGTTTATTCATGTACTGTATCTAAATGGGTCGGGTCGGGTCAAATCAAATCGGGTCGAGAGAGCGGAAATATCTACCTAACTTTTAAAGTTAATTTCTCAAATGGTCACCAAGTTAAGGAAACTATCTTAAAATAACATTTATGTTCCATTTTGAATAAAAATATCACACAACTATCACTGTTTTCCTCCTAATATACTTCACAATTCAAAAGCATCCTCTCTCTTAGTTGGCATGACATGTCATTCAAGTCTTTTTTAATAATAGACTAATTTAATTCATTAAACTCATTTAACTAAAATAATAATCATATTTTTTTAATTTTTTCAATTAATTTATTAAGAATAAATTTTCATACTTAAAATCTTTTATCATAATTAAACTTTTTATTTTTTTATGTTATGCAGAATACATTTTTAAAATGTACTATAATCTCATCAATTTTAAATACTAATAAACACATATATTCAAAAAACATTGATATACAAATCACTCATGAACGCTAATTTACTTCAATTAATCATAAATTGTATAATAAATCAATAATATTAAAGATCGACTAATTATCAAGAAATAATTATTTGGATGCTTTGAAATCCATATATACTTATAATATTTTTTTTTAAAAAAATAATAATAAGTGAATAATATTTATAGAAAATAAAATTTTGATCTTTATTTACAGTATATTAATCTCATAAAATATTTATATTAACGAATTAAATTAGTAAATTCAATTAATTATTAGTTTATTTATTGATGTCTAATTGTATGAAAAGTTATAATATAATATAATATAATATAATATAATATAATATAATATAATATAATATAGAATAAAAGAATAAAAATAAAAATAAAATTAAAAAAAGTTCAATAATAATTTTCTTTTTCTTACCAATTTTTTGTCAACCTTACAAATTTATCTAAATACTTTTATTAAAAGTAAGATTTTCAAATAATTTAGTTAAAAATTTTAAAATTATCATGCAATAATTGCACGCAGAGATTTTCCATTGAATTTTGTTTGGTGATAATATATAAAGTTACTAGACTTTTTAAATTACTTTTCTTATAATCTTCATAAATTCTCATGTAATTTATATATTTATTTTGTAGAGACATAAGTTTGATGAATTAAATAGGTCTATTATTTTTTTTTAAATGATTATTTAATGACAAAGCATATCAACTAGAATTTAAGGAAACTTTTGAGGCATTTAGTATTTCTAATGGATAAAAAATATAATACTTTTCACTTTCTTCTTCTTTTTTTTTCAAAAAAAATAAATATTGGAAGCATGAATTGCAAAATATACAATTAATATTATTGTAGTAGTTAATTGACTTTTGATATTATTGATTTGTTATACAACTTATGATTAATTGATGTCAATTAGTGTTAATGAGTGATTTGTATATAAATATTTTTTTGAATGTATGTGTTTATAATTAGTCAAAATTAATAAAATTATAGTACATTTTAAAAATGTATTTTTCATAACATAAGAAACAATTAATTTTGTTAAAATATTTTAAGTATGAAAATTTATTCTTAATAGATTAAAAATAAAGTAAAAATAATATGATCATTATTTTAGTTAAAAAGGTTCAATGAATTAAATTAGTCTATTATTAAAAAAAGATTTTAATGACATGTCATGCCAACTAGGAGAGAGTGATGATTTTAAAGTGTCAAGTATATTTGGAGAAAAATAGTGATAGTTGAGTGTATTTTGATCCTAAATGAAACATAAATGATATTTCAAGACAATTCTCTTAACTTGGGTGACCATATAGGGAATTGACTCCTAACTTTTAATTAAAATTTTGATTGCATAATTTACACGGAAAAAGAATAAATATACTCTGAAGCTATGTAAATGGTGTGTAGATACCCTATGTCATACTTTTGGATATAAGTGCTCATGTCATCCAAAAATTAAAATATATATACCCTTTAGACTTACGAAATGTACACATGTCATAATCCTATCTACCGCCCTAAAATTTATTAAATATCGGAGAGACTAATAAGACTGTGTCATGTGTCCCTAGTTAGTCTTTCATTCGAGCGAAGGGCATATATGCTATAGTTTTTGGATGGCAGAGGCAACAATGTCCGAAAAGTATAACGAAGGGTATCTACATACTATTTACGATAGTTAGGAGATATATTTGTTATTTTTTTAAATATAAAATGTATAAACGCACCCTTTATATATTTTGACTTCGATTGACATTTATGCCCTTCGATTATTAGGTTTTCTTAAGTATATACTAAATTTGTATAAAACTGAACAAGTAGTTCTACGTAGCATACACTACAAGAAAAATTATCTCTAAGAAAGGAAAATCTGGTCCCAAATGGTCTATTGGGACGGGTTTCGGCTGGTCGCCACCCTTAAATTATTCTTCGCTAAAGGTCAATTGGGACGGTATGCTTTTGCAGACATTAAATGTCTTTAGACATCGCAAAAAATCTAGTCGCAAAATATCTTTAGAGACTACATTACTCTTCCCATAAAAATATTTCCTTCTTGGAAAATTAGTTATTTTCTGGTCAGTAAATCCCTTTAGAGATTAGCAATAAACTCGTCCTAGAATACTCTTTTGGGACGAGTAACTACACTCATCCTAAATTTCCTTTTTTTATCACTAACTACGTCATTCCGTATTGTTTTTCGCGACAAGAAACAACTCGTCCTAGATGAACCTTTAGGGACAAAAGGTTGCATCAGTGTAGATGAAACTTTTAGAGACAACAAATTGTCTCGTCCTAGATGAACCTTTAGATACGAGAAAAAAGTTGGTCTCTAGTTGACCACCAATTGTTCTAGATCTTTGTATCACAAAAAAATATTTATTGACAAATCCATCAGAAAGATCTGGAGAATGATCCCAGCTGCCATTTTTTGGAGCATATGGAAAGAGAGAAACAACATATGCTTTAATGGAATATCAACCTCTTTTGCACTCTTAAAGCCCAATGTCTAGTTAGTTTATTTAGCTGGCACTTTTATGCCAATGTAAAAAATGTGGATAACCTTTCGGATTTTGTTAGTTCCCTATCTCTAGTACAGTAGAGTAGCAGGGTTCCCTATTGACTGTTTCACAAGTTTTTGCCAAGCTAGCTCCATATTTTCTGTTTGGAGCAGCTTCTTTGCACAAGGTACTTTTGTAACTTCGCATCTTCTTGATGCTTTCTAATTTCATTTAATTACTTTATCAAAAAAAAAAATTAATAATAATAAGCTTTAATTTGTCAATAAATATAAGATTGCTACGGTAAATCTTTATACAAAAGGCTGACATAAGAATCAAAATAAGTTACATCCCATGTTGTTAGTTAAAACATTTTCTCAACAAAAAAACTTAGCAACATTTTCAAGTTTTGCATAACTTTCTTAGCAATATATTAATGGTCTGATGGTTATTCTAAACATTCATCTTCACTTGTAGCTTCAACCTTCACAAAAGAAATCAAAAATTCACCAAGGCTTATCCACGCATATGAATAATGTGCATGAAAATAAGAAAAAATGATTACGAAACCTTTAAGATTCATTAACCTATAATAAAAATCTATATATCAGAAACATAAATTCAATAACAACAACTTAGTACAAATAGAAAAAAATTTCATCAAGAAGATTTATATTATATTTTAGGGGACACAAACTTTTACGGAGGAACTGAATAATCAAGATACAAAGGTTTCATGAGAAACAACAAAGTTATTTGTGTAGCAGGGGAAAGAAGCAACATATTATTGTTTTCTTTCAATTTGTAATTCTTGTAGGAGCCAAACAATCTCAAATTGATTCTTATGACTGTGTCACAAGTCTAATACGTCTACAGATTGCATTATAGTGATTGCGTCAAATCTAAAAAAAACTATGTATTGAAGGCTGACACAGTAGACTATGCACAACAAGACAATGACAGCCGAATGGCGCAACAGTAAGGATGTTGACCAACAAGCCACCAAGATAAATGCAGATCAATAACATTATGGTAATGTAAAGGAGAACATTCTATCTGACCAACAAGTTTCAGAAAGCTTGCCCACTGTGATCAAAAACCAATAAGATATCCAATTATATGTTGAGTTAAATTAAATTTTACCTATTACATATGTATCTCGAGATTTTTTTGGTTTTCTTGATTTGTAGGAGTTGGTTGTTGAGTGCTTTACTTTGTTGTCAAAATGCCTCCAAGTTATTTCCTTTGAGACGGGAGCACAACGGATCAATGGTAGTTCGCTTCTATTATTGATTTGGCAGTAACAAATGGTCATTATAATCTAGTGAGAGAGTTCATTTAGACACCAATTTACTCATAAATCTTATATCTTTACGTAGAACAAGAAGTCTTGAAGGCGAAACAAAGAAAGGACATAATTCCATTAGAGCTGGTTATGGTGGTTGGCTTTTTTGTAGTGCTACTTCAGTTGAAAGATCACATTCACAAGAAATGAACTGTTCATTTCAGTTGGAAGATCACATTCACAGAGACAAAGATGTGTTACATTATGTGCAGAAAATTAAAAACACAGAGAACAGTTGTATTTTAAACAAAGATCAATAAAAAACAGAGAATAACTATATGTACAGTGATCTTCAAATGGTTTGTCAATAATGTGGGGTACATAAAAAAAAATTACAGAGATCAATTCCAACAACAACTCCGAGTTTTAGCAAGAGCCAAACACAGGTGGTGTCCATAGTGGAGGGGCACAATTAAATCGAGCTAATAATAAAATTCAACAACTCCGAGATACTCCACAATCAAGCAGATGGTTGTACTAAATCTCAAAATGAATTGATTGAGAAGGAGGATAATCGACCTGAACACAACAAGGATAAGTTGCAAGGCTCAGCAAATCACAATAAAGAACAGATTAGAACTCATAAGCACTCAAATCACTTGCACAGATTGCATCACCACATGAAGTAAAGACACCATTACATCTGGGACATCGATAATCATTATTAGTTCCTATGATTCCAACCTTACATTAACTGCTTAAATGACAATACATAAATAGAGTTTGATATATCGTTACTTACTTGGTCAGCAAAAAATGTCAGTGGCCATTCAGTTGATACAAGTGATGTCATATGCAGGTTATGTGATTGTTGAGCAGCAAAGAACTCTTTCATATTTATTATCTCTTTCATTCCATCTTCTAATGTAAACAAGCGATCATCCAAGGATTTATTTTCGTCATTTAATTTATTTTTCTCTTGAGTTGAACGTAGCTCAGACAGTAATTCAACCTTTGAAGAAGTGTCAACTCTCATGTCCTTTGCCTTTACTCCATCCCCAAAGTCATGGCTACAATTTTGAGGTCCACAATACTTTTCTACAATCTCTATGCTAGCAGAGATGACTCAACTTTTAGTATTTCTTTGATTTAAGCCTACAAAATATAAATCACTATATTTTAACACATTTCATAATAGTTTGAAGTAATTTACTTATTGAATTTACCAAACACACATGTTTTTCAATTGCTTTTGGTTCAACAAGCTTGTTATTTTTCTTACGAGTCTCAAAGAAAATAATCGCCAAATTTGATGGATTACCATCTTTTTCGCCCTTTAAATTAAACAAAAAACATGTCAAATAACACATTGTTAATATTTTATTAAAAAATAATTTTTTTATAATATCTGCTGAAAAATAATCTCTCTAATAGGCTTGCTATCAATATGATGGAACACCTTTAACTTAGCTCAATTTTGTATTGCTCCTCGCCTGTATTGTTAGGTAAAACTTTCATATCTAAGAAAATTTATAATCTTCAAAAAGTTTCACATCTAAATAACACTATGAGCTGCGAAATGATTGCTTTAACAATGTAAATTGTTAGATCACTAGGTATACCTGAAAACTTTCAGAACAAAATTGTTCCTTAACTAACCACTCTCATTCCTTCCTTTCTACTCCTTTTGGAATATTCTTAAGAGCTTGACGATCGGCTTATTCTTCACATAAGTAGCATGCAAGTATCATCTCCATTTGTTCCATAACTCATTCATCCATCAAAATATATGATCACAATGATCATTCAAGTCATCACTCTCAAATTTATCCTACAACAATTAAAATATGAGCTTAAATAAAAAAAGGAAAGTGAACATTGTGTGACAAATAGACAAAAAGTATGTACAAATTTGAGCATGAAAAAGATATGCAGCAGTGCTTAATGTTTGAATAGGAAAAGTAAGTTGTCAACAAGTTAAACGATGTAATTCATAATTGTTACTGCAATAACTGCCCACGTATGATCCATATTTTGTTGCTTGATATCACTAAACAATGATACTCCCAATGGACACATGTTTTATAATCACGAATTATTTTTCCAGGTGCCTCAAAAACAGATTGCTATTTGTTCCAACCGTTCGATTATTGTAGAATGTTATTTTCAGCTTCTTTCTGGCTTCAAGTGATGCAACTTCTTTACACTTTTTTGTTCTTCGAACCCTTTGTACCTTCTTAGGATTAGATGATCCTGTAGTTGTATAATTTAGAAAGAACTACATCAGTAAAATTTAGTTCTACAGATTGATAATGCACAGATTTGTAAATTTTCATACTTGTTTCTGTTGTTTTGGAGGGTTGCCTTACTTGATCAGTAGAACCATGGGATTTGATTTCCGTGTTTTTTTCTTTCTCAAGAATAAGGGGATTTTTATCCATTGATAGTAGTCCTTGACTAGATTCCAGATTATTTTTAGAAACCCCTAAAATGAGCAGAAAAATCTAGGCATTTGCTCACATCCCTTTTCTATAGCACCTAGAATCAAGAAGTAATATTATAAAAACTTTGACATTTACTTTCTATTATACATGGAATTTAAAATAAAACATATTTTAGAAAAGAAACATACTTGTTTCAACTTCTTTGATACATTGCTTTACTTGATTAGTAAATGAATGAAAGGGAGTATGAACTTCACTAGAAGGAATGGTGGAGTTTTTATGTCCAGTTCCTCGTTCCTTACCAATAGAGCCTGGAGAAAACAAACTACTACTGTTTGAATACAATTTCCCAGTGACTATTTGACAAAAAATAAGGCATCAACTTGTAGGAGTTGACTATATGGATAAAATTAGCAAGACAAACCTCGAAAAGCATAATCCAATTTTTTTTTCACCCCATCTAAATTGGTCCGGTCAACCCGTTTATCAAGAGAAAGTTGCATCCATCGCTTACTAGGTGTCATAACCTTAAAAAATACATAAAAATAGAATAAAAAAATATAAACAATAAGGAAAAACTTTAAATTCACACAACTTGTGAGTTTGTAACTAGTAAAATTATATTAAATAAATTATTTACAACTTACAATGTGTTATTTACAGACGTTTTGATAAATTATAAGATGTGCACAACTTACAAGCAGTTACAGTCGTTTGGGCAAATTTGTCGAGCTTGAATTTTACAAGAATGGAAGAATATGTGGTGCAACTATAAGAATGTTTCTTTTACAATCTGTTATTTACAGATTTTTTATAATCGGAAATTTACATACTTTTTACAATCTATTATTTATAGTTTTCTTATAATTTGTTAGTTACAATTTTTTAATTATAAATTTGTGGTAATTGAGAGTTTGATAGGAATAAACGAATATATGGTGCAACTATAAGAACATACCTCTTGAAGGTTCTCGAGTTTGCTAAGTTTGTAACGTAAATGAAACTACAACTATTTCTACCTTCTATGTACAACACCACATGAGATAATTTGTATCCGTTTTGTTTATTCTTACATCTTTTATGAATTCGACTTAATTTTATTGTAAAACGTTATATGATCGATTTTCTTAGACACACACAAAACACTATGATATACTCCTAAAAAACTGACCAGACAATCTCAAAGATGAAGAGTAGTTCAAACAAGTATATAGTGCAACTCGAATAAATCAAATATAGAGAAGAAGAAAATCAGCTCCAAAAAGAGGAAGCTTAACAAAAAGTTGAACAAACAGAAAATAGCTAGTGATTCTGTTTTACAAGAATTAAAAAAAAATATGGTGTAACTATTGAAAAATCTTGAGTTTTACATGTTTTGAAACATAAACTAAACTATCGTTGTTTCTACCTACCATGTGCATCATATACAAGAGGTAATTTGCATCAGTTTTCTATTGATTTCTTCATCGTTCATCATCTCGTATTACTATAATCGTCAAAATATGATTGATTATTTAGTCACACACTATACACTATGTTACAAGAAGAAAACAATCTATAAGAAAAAAATTGAGAATAAAAAAAACTCACCTCGAAAGTTATCAAGTTTCTAATTTTCAGACCCAAACAAAACTATCACTCATTCAATCTTCTATGTGCAGTACCACAGTTGGTCAGTTAGCATCATTACTATTGTGTTTTACATATTTTATCAGTTTCAGACCCAAACAAGACTATCGTGTTTTCACTTATTCAGTTGCAACATTCTGCAATTACTTGTCTCACTTGCCCTGTTAGTAATTCACTTTTAAATCATAACAGATTTCTAAACTTAAACAGAACACTCTCTATATTATCTTTTAATATTTTCTTAGCTCATTGAGTTTTTAGTGTCTCTTTTCAAATTTGGTTCATTATTATTTGTCTTTAGGAACACATACTTCATTAAGAAATGCTCGATCCCCTTCACTTTTGAAATTATATCACACTAAGAAACTAAATCATTTTTTTAGAAAATGATCAACATCTAGTCTTAAACAAAAAGAACTCAAACAGACGAGATACAACTCGAACAAAATAAATAGAAAATCAACTGTACAGAAAAAAAATCAAATCAACTCGTAGAAGTAGAGGCAGGCCTGAGATCCGAGACACCAGTTACAAATGGAAAAAAATCACAGCTACGAAGACCTCTACTTTCTCTGTTATGAGAAAACCGAGATGAAACAATAATCAATGAGACATGGGTTACGTTTGCTGCTAGGCAGACCTATGTTTTCTATTTTTTTTTTTGAGAAAACATAGATAAAAAAATTAAATCAACTCGTAGAAGTAGAGGCAAACCTAAGATCCGAGACGAGTTTTAAATCGAAAAAAGTTCACAGCTGCGCAAACCTCTGCTTTCTCTGTTTCGAGAACACTGAGATGAAACACTAATCAATGCGACCTGGGTTGCGTTTGCTGCTAGGCAGACATGTGCTTTCTCTGAGAAAACACAGATTTTTAGTTGAGAGCTACTATGTACTAAGTTTGTTGTAAGCGAAGCTGGTTGTTAGCTGTGAGAAGATTGTTGCTTTGAGAAACAAATACTGAGGCGTCTGTTCTTTATTTTCTTTTTTTTAAAAGATTTTTATGAATTGATGACTTTGATTTAGGCGGCTAATTTTTTGGTGAAAGTATTTCCCGCCTACCAATATATTTCTTTAGGCCCAAGTTTTAATTTGGGACGAGTTATACTTTTTCTAGAGACCAGATTTAGAACCTTCACAATAACATATGAAATTATAGATCGAAATATATATGACTTTTAAAGATGGGATTATTAACCCGTCTTAAATATTGGTCTTAAATAAAGCTGTTTGTTGTAGTGATAATACACATAAAACGTCAATTAGGACACAAAATTATCATGTATGACAGCATGTAGGATGAACATATTTTTTTTGTTCAATTTTATGCAAATTTAAGTGCTTACTAATGGACATCTGAAATTAAAATTTATAGCGGTTAGATGAAATCAAGTTATTTTAATAGTAATATTTATATATAATGTCAATTTTGATTGTTAAATATTAGGAAAAAATACATACATTCCACTAATAAACTTGTAAAAAAGAAACTCTCTCACATTTCAATTGACATTTTCTTGTAACACTTATCTTAATTGAAATGTATCTATCTCCTCCTTTCGACTCAAAATGACGCATGAGTTGGAAGACTGCAATTGCTCCAAACATGTAAGAAAATCAATATCATTTCAACTATTTTGGGTTTAAAGTTCATAAAAAGGAAATATTAATATATATTAGAAGCGTTGAAAAAACTTTTGAATGTAGTGTAAATTATTAACTTCATTTTTAAATTATTAACAGACTTATAAATCTTATTTATTTGACTAATTAAACATAAATACATATTTGATTTGCTACATGGCATAACAAATGGTCTCAGATTCTTATACAAGCATGAAACTCTTAATAAAAAGTCAAGATAAGTGCTAAAAATACCCTTAACTTGACAAAATATTAGGAATGTATTTTACTCATATTGAAGACCGAAATATATTTAGATTCAGTTAGACAATAAATAAGTTTTTTTTTTTAATTATTGTTAATAATTTTGAGAGAAAAGTAGTAATTTACAATAAATTTAAAGGTGTTATATTCCAGATCACATAACAAAATATATTTAATGTTATTAATTAGTTCCAATTCGCTAACTTGGCTCCCTTCAATGCTCTAAAGGCAAAAGAGTGATCAATGAAAGCATTCAAATAGTAATCTAATACAGTTAAAAGTGAGCATCGATCGATTTAGTTTGATTTTATACGTTATTGATTCAGTTTATTGATTTTTTGTTTTTAAATATGCAAAGCTAATAACGAAATCAACAAGATATTTTTCTTTTATTGATTTTGGTTTTTTAACAGTTTGATTTTTGGTATAACCAATAAGAAAATACTTATAAAATAGATACACGATTTCTCCAACAGTTTGACACCACAAAACAATAATATAACTTTACTAATGCTCATGAAATAGTACTAACTAACATGAAAAAAGAATTTTGCAAGTGTAAAACAAAGAGAAATTAGATAGAATACAATTTTTTTTTTTTAGGTTTTAACATCATGTAAAACGTGAATTTGTGAACTCAAATTCATTATGAAATGTAAATTAAAGGCTAAAAAACAAAAACAATAACTCATAATCTATTGAGATTAATATTTAATATATATGACAGTAAACTACTTCCTCTGTTCCAATTCATATACACATTTTATATTTCGAGAGTCAAACGGTTTAAGTTTGACAAAAAATTTACGCATGGAATCTTCAATTTTTTTTGAAATGAAATTTCTATATTTGTAAATTACGTAAAAAATACTATGAGTCACAATAATTGATAATTCAAAATGTTTAGAAGATTTATGAAAAAATTTGATAGACTTGTTTGACTCTTCAAATTCGAAAGGTAACATATAAAATGAGACGAAAAGAGTAGTTGATTAATAATCTTAATGGATTATCAATTTACCCAATAATTCTAACAAACTTCAAAAACCAAAACTGAACCAATAATTCAATAATTTATTTTTGTATAAAACCATTTCCATAACCCAATAACACTTGATATATATTCAAGAGAGTAAACAATAATCGTGTCATATAAATAAATTAAAGAAGAATAGGAAATCCGATTCAAAGTTTTTCATTTTTTGATTAAAATTTCATGGTTTACAAAGATGATGTCTTTTACATATTGTCCATTATAACATGTAACATAAATTAAAGACAGGAAAATATGTAACCAAGAAAACATGGATTGAAGCTCCCTCCGGCCACTCATGATTTAAAAAAAGAATGAAACAGCAACAATAATTGTGGCAATTGTGGTGAAATCAATAGCATTGCTACTGCTGCCTCCATTGGGTGCTGGTGGTAGGCTTATGTCAGGAAAAGTAACTCCTGAAACTGGTCCACCAACTGGTGCAGCAGATACAGCTTCATTTTCATCAATACCATTAATCGTACCTGTCTCAATTTACGTTGACACATTTTAGAATCTTTTGAACAGTAACTTCATTATTTATATATATTCGAAAACTAAGTAAAAAAATATAAAAATTACCAATAATGTTGTTGTTTTCAACCGGAATAGGAGCATTAGCTGCGTCTTTCAAAGCTGCAGTTGTTGTAGAATATTCATCAATGGCGGAGACCATACAAGCCATGGCGAAGAAAACGAGAGCAAGAACAATGATTTTAGGTGCTGCCATTTTTTTTTTCTTGCTATGAACGTTTTTTTGCTCCTTTTATTTGTATTTAATTTTGAATGCAGCAATGGAAATTAGAGAAAGTGCTGCAATGAGAGAGGAATAAAAATAGGTTGGGATTAATATAGGAACACAAAAATGAAATTTTATGTAATGGTTAAGCGGAGTCCAAGGATGACCATCAAAGGCCCTATTCTTTTTATCAGGGACGACCTAAACATATTAGCTGTCTAAACTAAAAATGAAGGCCTTAAATTTAATAAAATAAAAATATTATATCTTCTTACCAAGCTCATAATTGAGATGCAAAGTTATTGAAAGGTTTTTCTAATGGATTCTTTTGATAATTTTTTTTTGTGTGTGTGACAATGCTCTCAATGTATCAAACTTCTTATGATATAACCTATTAGGCTATTATTGCTTAAACAAAATAAGGTCCCTCAAAATGTAAGTTTTTCCATTTCATGATTGCTATATATTAAAATAAATTCAAACAATAATTAATACGCTTCCAAACGAGTTACTAGAGATATAATTTGGACTAATAAATACAGAAAAATAGAGAGAATGAACACATAAATATATTATTGATAATGATGAATAAACTACACCTTAGCTACTATTACAACATAAAAATTAAAGTTCAGTCTGAGGTACTATTACAACACAATAATAAAAGTATTTTAGTCGTAGAGATGACAACAGGACGATGAAGAAAAGGTTAGAGTGCACGTGGATGTGGGGTGAGTTGCGTCAAATGGATGTTGATAAAATCCACCCGTTCATAAATTGGAGTGACTATGAAGTTTCATATCTAAACTCTATTTATTTAAGAAATCATAAAATATGTACAAATTATTAAGTTTGTAGTCACTTGAAAGGACTATAATTCTTAATATGTGAACTTTAGATCTTAAATGCTTAGAAACACCTTAAGATGAGACACTACATTTTGAAATATATAAAGGTTGCTACTACAACAGTCTCAAGTTAATATACGATAGTAATTAAGTTTTCACATTCTATTATTTCTAAATATTTAGTGAATAATTTAGTACATATATCAAATTTGAGTAAACACTATTGCTTCTGTGAATTGGCACATAGCTCCGCTTCCTTACATTTTGTTTGAATAATTGTTACTCATTGTTTCATAATGTATAATATTGTACTCTATTGTGTGAAAGTTTGACCAAAGCAAGCCATTATTACAATCAATTTACCAAAATAACATATTTTTTAAATTTTTTTACAAAACTAGTAGAAACGTAGTTCTCAGTAACTTATAGGTAATATTTTATTCAAAAAATTCAATAAATAAAAGACAAAAATCTAACAAAGTAAACATACATAAAACGTTATTGTCAGTAACGTTTTATATTTCGTTACTCTGAGGCATGTTTTACAGTTCAAGCCTGACTCACAATAACATTTCTCTAGAATGATTAAAAATTAAAATTCAATCTTGTATATGCTTCATTCTTTATATATAAATTTCTCTTGTCTTCTCTTTTCATACATATATAATACTTTTGCAGGAAAAAAGAGAGTGATGAGGGATTTTCTACTATATCAATTTATTTATTTTTTTAATAGTTGTCTCGTTTACTTATTGCACTAATATTAATTCAATGATAGTCTAATATTTAATAATCATAAGAAATCGATTGGTCTAATATTTGGAAGGGATGGTTACTTAGGCTAGAAGAAGATCTCTCATATGATTTATTTACAAATTTTGAAATTGAGATGATACAAGACAAGCTCCAATTTGTTCAAAGTCTTCCTCATGTTTTTTTTTTAATTTAAAAAGGTATTGTCTACGTATAATAGAGAAAGAAAAGAGAAAATCATATATATTTCAAATCCATTTTTATAGTGGAAATTTGAATATGAATAAGGCATGTACAAGATTGAATTTCAATTTTCAACAATTTCAGAGAAATATTACTATGAGTCACGTTTTAGATGCACGTTTCACAGTAATGAATTATAAAACGTAACTGACAATCATGTATGTTTGTTTACTCTATCAGATTTTTGTCTTTTTGTTATTGAACTTTTTAAATAAAATATACCTAAAACGTTAGTGTGAACTAAGTTTATACTAATTTTGTAAAATTTCAAAAAAACATATTATCTTGGTAAATTGATTTAATAATGCCCTACTTTGGTGAAAAATTCCTATTGTGTTGTATTGTATGTTAGATGCGACGTTTGGCTAGATTGTATTGTTTGTTATTGTTAAATAATATTTTAATTATTTGATTTGATTGTATCATACTATATTTTAATTTAAAAATTTACTAAAATATCCATAATTATTCTAGAGTATGAAGTTTGACTAGATTTAAATAATTAAGGTAAAGGTTAATAATATTTTAAAATATTATGTAAAGATTTAATTGGAAAAAGAAATCAAGTAACAATGAAAACACACCAAATCAATTGTTCCATAAAAAAGAGGTTTTAATTGTTACGTAACAATGAAATTTAACAATGCAATACAATACATTTTAAGTAACAATCAAAACAAACATTGTAAATATAATAACGATACAATATAATACAATGAGTAATAATGATCCAAAACATAGTGGTAGGGTTATGCAAGACTTGTTGATATGTTATAAAATCCCATGTGAATTGTACAGGTACTAGGTGCATGTGAATAAAAAACTGCTCATTAATTATTTGATAACTACTATCAGAAAAAAGTGAGATGAATGTCTTTCTAACTTGGCTATCATTGAGAATGAAAACAATTGAAATACAAAGCCAAAGACAATCATAACACACCATACATTCAAAAAAAATAGCTTTTCATTTCAATGGTACAAATCACACCATTGTGCATAAGTTAATTAAATCAAAAGAATACAAAACCAAAAAATTATCAACAAATTGCACGAAAGAACATGCCAAACTTAAAGTCAAATAATGCAACACATATCAGTACTACTTAATGTTAACTCTCTCAAGACCAGATGTTAATATCAAACAAGATTAAGACACAACTTCTAATCACTTATTAGTGATTGGAAACATGTATATATCGCGTTTCGCTTCCTTCCGATCGCCTTTTCAGTTAACTGCATAACCCCTTACAGTCAATAAGTTGGGGGATACTGAAGGAGAATGGATATGAGCAGGTAATTGTCAATCGTGCACACAAATTCTTCTTTCATTTTCTAATTTTTCAGGTCAGGAACACAGACTGCTACGGAAATGAGCCAAAACAGAGAGGTTAAGACTAATATAGTTAGTAGCTACAAATATCAAAGTTCAAATGGTGAAGAGAGTAAACATTATTAGGAAATATAAAAAAACCCAAAGAAAAGACACCAAGAGACGTACATTACACGGTAACCAAACCGACAGAACAGCAAGTAAGTCAAGAATAGAGCACTGCCTCAGAGCAACTGATGCAGCTTATATTGAAGGAGAATTTTATCGCAAAGATACTAGAAAAAGATGAATGCAAGAGAGATATCTTATGCACTCAATGTTTCTCTGATCAATTCTAGAGACTTGCACTAATTGGTGAAACATCAAATTCCAGGCTAATTAGTAATTAACCGATGTCTTTGTGGCTAACATGTACTGAACTGAAGTTAAAACCAAAAATGGAAGAGAAATTAAGATAGAATGGGTTAAAGGCAGCAAGAACCTGGTACATGTCCCTGGGCCCTTTGATACATCCAAACCCACAACTTGTTACTCCTAAATCAAATTATGTTAACATTATATACAACCAATGCGACACAAGTTTACAGAATGAGTTACAAGAAAGCAGAGGCGATCAAATTATCAGATATTACAACAAAAATTTACACTTGGTATATGATCTAACAACAAAAAAGTTTTTACAGGCCTACAGGAAGGTTACCACAGATGCAATCTGCAGTCACTATCAGCATTTGTGATGAATAATAAGCCAACTCTTCTAGATGTTACAACAATCACCTATATTTTGGATTACAGCAACATACAAAAGTTACTAACCGACCACAACTGACCTAGAGTGGCATTACTATGTACAAACCCACCATACTGAAATCTACAGGACAAAGTGCTCAGCAGACTTGGTACAAGATCTTTACAAAGCTTAAAAAAGAGCAAAAAACGGTATGAAACATTACACATGATGGAACCTACTACATATCTACAATACATAGCTCAAAGTAGAGCTTTAAAAGACTGGTGGGCCTGCTGATGCATCCCTATCTAAATTGGACGCCCACGATGTTATATGCTAAAGAAAACAAAATTACAGACAAACATCTCAGGCGCACTAGGGCACTAGGCAGAGACTAGCATTTTCAAACAATTGTCCAATTTAACTCATCTTCCTCCAGATAACCAAAATATGCTGATTTAGTCACGAAAAACAGAGTTGCCTCGCGGCTCCCTGAATATGATAATTAGAGAAAATTCTCATGTTAATACTCATGAAGAATGATAGAACCCAAATTCAAATGATTGCGTCAGTTATAGATGCCAATAACAGTTAAGAGATGCATTAAAATTGACATAGAAACCAAAAAGAAAGAAGGAATAATGCAAACTGATCTTTAAGTGTCTTAGGAAGAAGGTTAAATGGTCAAACCCTCCCGAACAACACTTCAAATCAGAGCAACGTGCAATTGGAATTGTACAAACAAATGCACATCGAGAAAATAATCTACAAGATTTAACATAGTTCAAAAATAGAACTGCATCCAATGTCTGTCTCTGCATTTTTGCCTGTACTAATGCCATTCAAGAATGAGATGAAACAATATCAATAAGCACAAATAATCAAACCATAATACAAAATCTTTTAGTTGTACAACCATGCAGATGGGGCGAATTTTTCAACTATAACTATAAGGAGCAGAGAAATGCAACTTTAAATTCTTTGCCTGAACTCATGGAGCCCAGCATTGAAAACAAGAAGGATCTATAAGAAAGTACCCCTATCCTCTTCTGGAGGATCGGGAGGAGGAGTTGGTGGTGTGACAGGAGAAGTTTGCTTGGTCCATAAAATAAATGCCAAAAGCCCTCTAAATGATACGGCTTTTAAAGCTATCTTTACTTCAACACAGAGAAAGAACCACAAAAACCTAAAATTCACGGAGGATCTTCTTTTATTTCGCTCACCAAAAAGAAAAAGAGAGAGAGAAAGGAAAAGATCAATAATATAACAAATTGTCAGCTAACTCATGACTCTGCCATAAATAATCAGAGTACAAAAGTGCAGCAAAAATTTAAGCGAGTGAAGCTCACAATATATTTGTTGATCACCTAGAGACATTATGAAAGCAGCAGCTACCCTATGATGCAGTGCCACATAAACTTAAAGTTGCTGAAAAATTTCTCCAAGACCACATACAAATTACCGGCACAAGAATTATGACTCCCTAACTATTTCACAACAAAAAATATCCTCAACTTCACGAAGAAGATGTGTTAGTAACTTAGTATACACCCATAGTGGATGATCCGTGCATATAAGCATAACTTTACAACCCAACATCCATGGCACAACGAATTTATAGGAACACCACTTAAAATCATTAATTTCATGGCTTTCTAAAATATTATCATGAAACTTCAGTTTCTTCCCTGGAGACATAATCAAATAAGGACCAAGTTTGAATAAAAAAAGGCAACAGTACCTCCAAGCATACCTAGATAACAAGGTCTGGCAGCTTAGAGATTAACAGACCAGATAAGACAGCCCCCCTCCCGCGGCCAATACATGTGCACCCAAACAGGCAAACAAAAGAAGAAAAAAAATACACATTTTAATATCACATGAGCAGCGAATTGAAAAAGCCAAGCATCAAGATACATTAAGCCTATTTCTCAGCTTTCAGATTAAACTAATATAACTAACTGAAAGAACTTGGTCAGCAAACAATCGTACATAAAAGGGATCACAACTCTAACATAATACACAACAAGTTCTAGCAGCTCCAAGAGCTAATTTACGATAATAGTCATAAAACCTAAAAATTAACAGAATTAGAAAGCTCAACTCGTTAAGCAAACCCATTTGAGTTTTTCAATAAAGTTACTCATAATCTTTGCACAAATAGAAGTTCTGCATCAAATGACGTTTATAGGGAGTAGGATAGAAGGATCTATATCTACTTCCTGTAACCATAGTAATACTTAACTTACTTCTTTAAATCCTGAAACCACAGAATATCAGCACCAACACAAAACAGGAAGAACGCCACTGCATACAAGTAGCTGAAGGAAGGACATCACCAAAGGTTAATAATTGCGCCTGTAGTCCTATAAAAGACTTGGAAAATAGATGCAAAGCAGCATATAAGAGATCATTCAGAAGGTCCGCGTCTACGTTTCCCATAATTTGTGTCTCTTGATCTAGACCTATGATTTTCCTCACGAGCTGCTTGGGATTTGCTACGGGATCTTGAAGAAGACTGTCCACGGTCATACTCTTCTTCATACTCTGATTCACGCTCCTTTTGACGATAGTCCCGGTAATCATCCATTTCTTCCCTGTATCTGTGCTCCTTATCATGCCTATCTCTGTCATGTTCTCTTTCATCACGATACCGCCTGTCAGAGTTGCCTGACCAGTCACGCTCAGAACCCCGTTCCTTTTCCCTAGAAACAACACTTGACCTGGCTTCTTTATCATGGCTAACCCCTCTATAGCCATACTCTGATGCATTATCTTCACCCCCATAACTGGACTCTCTAGTTCTCCTGCCATGTTCTTCTCCTCCCCATCCGCCCCCGCTTGTGTCAGTCCACATTCCTGGATGAGGCCCATCCATCCCAGCTGTACCCATAATTCCCATTCCATTTGCAGCCATTCCTCGACCAAAAAATGCAGGGTTGACATGAGGAGCCACTCCAGGATGGCCCATAGGATTAACAGCAAGAAATGGAGGCATCATCCCCGAAAATGCAGGACCTGAAAATCCTCCATAACCAGCTCCTCGACCTATAAAACTGGGATCAAAACCAGGACCCATCATGCCCTGGGGATGCATTAGACCTGCAAGAGGACCACCAAATGCTGGACCTGCAAGTCCTTGTCCAAAAGCTCCACCAGCACCATTGCCAGCTCCAGGATTCACCATCATATTCTTCGATCCCATGGCTCCTCTTCCCCCTCACTGGTCCACCCCCAGGTCCTCTGTTAGGCATCCCCGTCTCTCTACGCCCCCAACTACCTCTTCCTAAATTCCTCCCAGCATCTCCAAGGGTGTAATTTGGCCCACCTCTACCAACTCCCTCATTCATGGGTCCCCGCCCCTGTGGTTGAGACTGCACCTGGTTTTGAGTTTTGTTCGCATATGAGGAATCCATCTGTTTTATAGTTTGTGCAGTTGCAAATGCGACAACACAGGGTCGCCCATTGAAATTATAACCATTAATTCCTTCTTTGCAAGTAGCTGTAGAACCTGGGTCAAAAAACTCAACTTGACAATAGCCTTTAGACTTGCCACTAGCTCTCTCATCAAAGAATTTGATCTCCTTTACATTCCCATATTGAGTTAGCACACTCTCAAGCTCAGCATCAGTAGTCCACCAGTGCAATTCTCCAACAAAGAGCATGGTGTTAGCATTCTCCAGAGATGGCCTAAAAGGAGTCACTAATAATTGGATTATTGATGTTAACATTCCCACTTGAGTTCAATTGATTAGTTGGCATGTGCTGAACAACTCTTGGTCCAGCCACAACAGAATTCACCAATGGTGTAGCTTCACTGACATTTATTTCTGGCATAGCCATAGGATCAGCACCAATTTTCTGGGGCATTGGCATGGATCCTTGGTAACCAGAGTTCCCCACTTGAGAATTGAGATTCATGGTAAGTGCTGAAGGCCTTGATTTTTGTGCAGCATCAGCAGGTCGTTCAGTTTCCCTTTCAACTAAAGACCCACCATTTTGCTGGGGAAATTGGACTTCAGTGCCAGCATAATTCTCTTTTGTTGCAATACCAGGGATTTTCGCCTCCTCTGATCCTAAACCACCAGCCTTGAGGCAGGAAAACTATCTTTCTGAACTTGAAAACTCCCATTTCCCGCATCAACAGAAGGAACTGGAACCTTTGACCGCTGCAGCTATAGGAAACCTTCCCCAATGTTAACATCATTGTAAAGATAATCATATTCATCATCTTCACCCAGCATTTCATCCTCTGCCAGTGCATGAATTGTCCCACTTACATGGTACTGCATCTTGTGGCTTCCTCTATATTCCTCATCACCATAGTCCAACTGCTCATCTGCTGTTGGATCCATTGAAGGTAACTGAGACTGTAAATTAGGAAACTCTGCCTGATTTTTAAAGGAATGAAGATGATAGTTAAGTTCATTGCTTTACATATTAAGAAACAAGAAACTTGAATTTCCAACTGCAGCAAATATACACAAATCTTAATACATATGGTCATTAATGTTAAAGAGGATGAGAAACAGTCTGTTCTTTATTATTTTAAAAAAATTTATAAACCCCCACACCAAACCCCCAACTCCCTACTCCCCAAGGGCCAACAGTGGCTTTTTTCAACTTCCCACTTTGGTCATTCAAACTCCCAATCTTTTGGTTGAAGGAGGAAGGGCTCCCACTTGACCAACCATCTTTAATATAAGATGACTATTTAAGCTGAGAGAAGAATAAGATCTTAATGTATTGAACAAAATGTGAAAGCAAAAGACCATAAACTTAACTATAATCTACAACAAAACAGAAAAAAAAACTAGAACACAAATTCTGAGTAGGCGATTAACTTAGCATAGAATAACTACAAATAGATTTCCACTTTCAACAAACATAAAAGAGAGAAATAAAAGTTTAAGCATCTTCAAACAAGGCATATTGAGATCTGACGTTATACAAGTAACAACAACACATAGATCTTTACAAACACGCACATCAGAGTACAAATTAAATTATATCTCAGCAATAAAATGGATACCCACCTACATACATCCGTAAAGTTGCAAAAAAGGGGAAATTTTATACATCATGTAATGGAAACACCAAAGAAATAAAATTATATTCAATACCCAGATCACAAAAAGCAATCTTGTTCAATACCCATATCACAATTTCAAATAAATAAGCAGAAAATCTCGAACAAGATGTATATAGGCAAGGGTATCCGATTGTATGTATCAGTCAACAGATTACAACAAAGATACGGGCAAGGATTACAATTCACCATTGGAAAATTGAAAAACTGAGTTTTCGAATCGAAAGGAAAATTGTGCAAAACGGAGAAACCCAAAGATAATTACCGATAGAAAATTGGGGAAAACTGAAAATGAAACAAGAAGAGTCCTTTTCTTACATGAGCTTCTCCTCTTAGCTGTAGAGGTTAATTTCAACTCTGCCCCAATCTCTCTCTCTCTCTCTCTACACTTCTGCGTTTCGTTCTTCAATGGTTTGATTTGGTAGTCTTCGTCAATGACTGGCTAATTTTTGGAGTGGTGAATTGGTTAAGGAAAAAATTATATCTGCTTTGGATATTAAGTATAATTACTTTGATTCAATGACATGGTTAAAAGAAATTAATTTTATTGTCTTATTAGTTAAAAATAATATCTACCTTTCCCCCCTTAAATTTAGGGTGGGCTGCTGGCTCTAATTAATAAAAACTAAAAATAAAAAGATCCATAATACAAAAGAAAAACACAAATACTCCTTTAGTAAGAAAATAAGTAACACATTTTAATATTGGAGTCTTAAATTAAAATCATATACTAAAATACTTTTTTATCTTGCAATCTTAAACATGTCATGTGAAAAATTAAAACTAATATCTTGTCAAAAAAGAAAAGACGGACACGAAAACTCACCCGAGCTCCTCGATCGGGTCAAAAAAGAAAATGTGAACATGAAAACTCACCGGAGCTCCTCATTCAGGTTAAAGCAGCGATGGACCTATGTGTACCGCCCCGCAAGGCGTTACATTAAAATCCAACAATTTTAGCACCTTCGTCAACGTGGCCGAGACAAATCGCGATACGGAGAGTCAAAGAAACATGCCAAACTTCCAACCAAAGGTCAAGAGCACTTGCCACTTTTCAGATTAGCCATGGAGTGTTGCTTGTAGGCTAAGAATAATGCTCATCTTTCCAAGGCAAGGACGCCCCCAAGGATGGGACACAACTGATGGGGGCAGTTTCCTTTATGGCAATAAAGCAGCCTACTGCCTTTTTGTAAAGTTCCCATTTATAGCTTTCTTTTTGGGGTTTTGTTTCCCACGTTTTGCCTTATTAAGAAGGGGCTTGTGTATAGTTTTTAGGTAGGTTTCACTCTTGTAAAGACTTGAAGAAATACATATTGAAAATTGGCATTTGCCTCCCAACTTTGCTTTCTGATTTGGCCCCCTTGCTTGACTGTTTTCGCGGACTGTTTTGGTCATCGTGTTGATACACCTTTAGGTGATCGTTTGGTTGTTTAGACTGAGCATTTGAAGGGTTGTGCAAGCCTTCAAGGCTGTCCCACGAGGTTGAAAAATTAGCCCCGTGACAAGTGGTATCAAAGCATTGGTGAAGTATAACGTCTAAGTCCCAACGAAACGAAGAGGCTCCAAGAGAAGGGGCTAAAAGTTCGGAGGGAAACTACCAAGAAACGTGACAAGAGTAAGGTAAGAGACCCTTCTTGTAATCATTCTATTAGTGGTAGAGTTGCTGGGGAAGAGGGGGAAGGGTCGGAGACCAGCTAACTCGATGAAAAAATTATTGGAGTTGAGGCGGGGTTGTCGGCCCTAAAAAGACGTGTTATTGTTGTTGAGAAAAATTTTAGTTCTCTTGAAGTTGTAGCTCTTGAAGGGTTAGATGATGTGAAGAACACCTGGTGGAGCTTGAGGAAGTTCACAAAGAGTGTTTGACCAACCTCGAACTCAAGCTCACCGAGGTCATCTCCTCCCATCAAAGAGAGTTTGAGGCACTGAAACAGCAGGTTGATGAGGTTGTTGAAACGGGGGGTGCTGCTCCCGTGACGGTGCGTGAGACACGCATTGAGGCTCCCAAACCCAAGGAATTTCGTGGGGAAAGGAGTGCTCAAGGAGTGTTCAAGATGTTGAAAACTTCTTGTGGCAGATGGACGCCTACTTTGAGCATGTAAATATGCAAAGTTAGGCTGCCAAAATCAGGGCGGCTGCCATGTACTTGACTAATACGGCCATGTTGTAGTAGCGGAGGAAGAAAGCAGACATGGACAGTGGGTTTGTTTTATTGATGACTGGGAGCAGTTCAAGGAAGAACTCAAGCGTCAATTTTACCCATAAAATGTTGTCCATGAGGCCCGTCGGAGGTTAAGAGAGTTCAAACAAACTTCCTTTATTCGGGACTACGTGAAGGAGTTCACGAAGTTGACACTCTAAATTCCTAGCTTGACAAGTGTTGACTTACTGTTTTACTTCTTGGATGTTGTCCAAAACTGGGCCAAACAAGAACTCCAAAGGCGTCAAGTCCATGACGTGGACGAAGCGATAGTAGTGGCAGAATTGCTCAACGATTTTCGGGCAGATGCGGAGAAGGGGAGGGATAATCGAAGCAAAACTATTCCTCCCAAGGTTGACAACAGAAGGAACAAAAGCAGGCCAATACCAAACCAAGGCAGCGACTTGAGAGGTAACACCCGTAATCAACCCTCTAATTTCTGCAAGAACTATGAGGATCACAAGAGGGGCACTCCTCATCGTGAAGGTTGCTATATTTGTGATGAAACGACACATGCTGCTCGTTACTGCCCATCCCTTAGTAAATTGAGTGCCATGGTGGCTGCCGAAAAACAGCAAGAAAAGGCGGCGACGAAACCCGAAGGTTTGTCCGGGGAGCAACGTGGACAGAACAACGGGACGGACAAAGGGAAAAATGTTGTTATTGGTATGTTTAATCACATGGCGTTGTTCAATCATATTTCACTTGCTGCGTTAGCTGCTCAGCCAGCTAGTATAAAGTCGCGCCAACCATTATTCGTCAATGCTAAGTTGAATGGCAAGGATGTGCGGATTATGGTGGACACTGGTGCAACTCACAACTTTGTGACGGAACAGAAGGCCAAGGATCTTGGCCTGACTTACGTTGCCAGAAACACAATGTTGAAGACGGTCAATGTCATCCCCACTGTTGTCCATGGTTTCGCTCCTAAAGTCCCCCTCGATTTAGGAGATTGGACGGGGCTGACCGATTTCACCATTGCACCTATGGACGTGTTCGACATTATCTTGGGTTTGGACTTTTGGTATGAGGTTAACACTTTTAAATCACCGCGTCACAACCAGCTGCACATCAGCGACACTGGAGGTTAATGTGTGGTACCCCTTATTCGGGTACCACAAAATGGAATGCACTTGTCGGCGATGCAAATCGTTAAGGGTTTTAAGAAAGGTGAGTCAACCTTTCTTGCTACTCTTGTTGGAGACGTCAAAGGCTCTTCTAAGGCAGAACATTTGCCTCCTTGCATTGAGCAGGTCCTTAGTGACAACAAGGACGTGATGCCGGAAGAACTTCCACAACAGTTGCCACCCCGAAGGGAAGTTGATCATCAGATTGAGCTGATTCCCGGGGCAAAGCCACCTACCATGATGCCTTATCATATGGCACCCCCGGAATTGGAGGAGCTGAGGAAACAACTCAAGGAGTTTCTTGATTTGGGACATATCAGGTCGTCCAAGGCGCCATTTGGTGCGCCTGTTTTGTTCCAAAAGAAGACAAAAGGGACGTTGTGGTTGTGCATCAACTACCGGGTCCTCAACAAGGTCACGGTGAAGAACAAATATCCCATTCCTTTGATTGTTGACTTGTTTGATCGATTGGGACAGGCCAAGGCGTTCACAAAGATAGACTTGAGGAAAGGTTATTACCATGTTCGGATTGCCGAAGGTGATGAACCCAAGACAACTTGTGTTACTCGTTATGGTGCTTTTGAGTGGCTGGTCATGCCCTTTGTCTTGACAAATGCACCGGCGACGTTTTGTACATTGATGAACAAACTATTTCATCCATACTTGGATCAGTTTGTGGTCATCTACTTGGATGACATTGTCGTCTATAGCAACAACATGGAGGATTATGTGGAATACTTGTGCAAGGTGTTCAAAGTTTTGCGCGACAACTAAGAGTGGCAGCGGAACCGGTACCTACCGGTTCCCGGTCCGGTCCGTCCCGGTCCGGTTCGGTACTGGTTAGTACCTGTTAGGGTTTGGGTTTTCCGGTTCCGGGACAGGAACCGGGACGGAAATTACGGATATCCGGTTTTTACCGGTTTCAGTAATTACCGGTCCGGTCCGGTCCGATTTAAATTTTTTTAAAAATAGAGCCGTTACTAGCCGTTGGGTAACGGCTAGTGGGGCCCCCCAACGGCTAGTTGAAGAAAAATTCATCCAATAAAGCCCTTACCCTACCCCTAACTTTTAAAATACCCTAAAGTTTTAAAAATGACACTTTAACCCATCTTTTTACTTATAAATACCCCTAAATTTCATTCTTTTAAATCACAATATCATCTATTCATCTTCTACTCTCTCAACTCTCTACTCTCTATCTCTAAAGTCTAATCTCTAATTCGATAATATATAATATCTTAAATTTCGGTGTTGCCTTACTTGGTCTTTGGAAATTAGATTTGGAGCTTCAAAATTCAATTTTCAACTTTCCACGTTCGGCTATCGGCGGTCATAAACGTCTAATTTTTTTAAGTAGACGTTCGGTACATTCGTTCTAACTTTTATTTTACGTTTCATTTATATTTAAGTAATTATTTATTTATTTTTGATTTATTGTTTGCATAATTGCATAACATTTTTCTTATTATATTTATTCTCACGTTTAATTTTTTAATAGGGATTTCGGAAAAAATATTGTTCAAAAAGGAAAGGGGAAAAAAAGTGCATTAGAGCGTGTAAGAAATGTTTGTAACTTTAC